AAATTTAGTTGGTTTTTCTTAGTTCTAATCACAATATATGATCAATTTACATGGGTCACACGAGCATAAGTGCCCATGCATACACTGAGCGTCTTTTCGCGAATTAATTTGGTTAATTTGGCGTTAATTGCACTATATTTGTAACACACGGCGGAGCGAAATAAAAATACGTCCGACGTCTACGCCGTTCACTTTGCCTTCCTACCAAATATTAAAATAAATATTATGTGGAGGTCGTAGGGTACAATAGGTAGCTTTATTTACCGAGGGCGTACCGTTTTATTGGCGATGCACAACTCGAAGAATAAAGTGTCAAATGAAATCGTACGTACACCTTTGTCAAGGAAGAAATATGGTTTTTCGCTTATATCTAGGTAAGGATACATCTTAAGTTAATAACTTTTTGTTTTCTTCCATAGGAATAGATAAGCTAACGCCCCCTGGTGGCGCTATCTATATGTCGACTGGTGCGTTAGAATCTGTTATCTTTATCGATTGTCCAGTGAGAATTTCATGACATTTCATCGATTGGAAGTGAACTTTTTGCGTTTTAAGTGTCAGTATGTTTGTGTTATCGGTGCGAAAATGAGCTTCGAACAAGGAGCCAACATTAAATTTTGTTTTAAAATTGGTAAAACCGAAACGTTTCAATTGATAGAACAAGTTTATGGCGATGATTGTCTACCCCGTAGCAGAGTGCACGAGTGGTTTCAACGTTTTCAAAGTGGTCGTGAGGACATAAATGGCGATCAACATGTGGGCCAATCAAAATTCGTGATCACCGAAAATTCCATCGAAACTGTGCGTGAATTCATAAAAAATCAGCCGAAATCATTATTGAAATTTATGGAAATGAAATTCAGCATCTCCAAAACATCGATTTATCGTGTGTGCACGGTTTGTTCCGCACAAATTGACTGACGACTAAAAATCGCTCTCATCGATCGACGTTGATGACCGATTATTTGACCAAAAATCACACTTTAACCATTAACCACTCGCCGTATTCACCTGATATGGCAACGTGCGACTTCTACCTTTTCGGAAAAATGCATTTGCCCATGAAAGGAAAGCGTTATGCAGACGTAGAGGCCATTCAAAAGGCTTGCACCGGCATACTGGCGGCCATACCGGCCAACGAGCTAAAACACTCGTTCGACATGCTTTTGGATCGTGCAAAAAGCTGTATTGAAGCAGAAGGAGACTATAATATATAAATATAATATATAAAATGATTTTGCAGAAAAACCATTTGTTCTGTTTTTTTTTTTAAAGTCCTGTTTACTTTGGAACACACCTTGTACATATATACATATATGTATAGTTTGTTTGAAAAAACCATATTTTTCAACCGATCGATAATGGTTTCTAAAATCAATAAAAGAATACAAATAAAACTTCATACTCGGTTTTTTTATTTTTTCGTGGAGATTTAATTACTGGACTTTCACGCCAAACAATTAGTTAGAACCAATGTCCCTTTTCGGATATGCTCACTTGCCTATATATTTCGGTTATATCTGCCGTAATGGCAAAGCGATTTAAAAGAAATCGAATAAGCGACAAAATTAATTCCCTCTGTATAGTCGGTCCCACCATAAGAATGACCAGTACACAAAAGGTCAAAGAATGAGTCAGCGCCAAGTAACAAGTCAATTCTTTGGGGCTTGTAAGACTCGGGGTCGGCTAGTATAAGATTGGCTGGGATTTTCCATTGATTGCTTGACAAATTGCAATCGGACTGCTTTTTAGAAATTGAACTGACCACCAAAAAATCAGCATTGAACTGGTTGACTCCTGAAAAACCTGTTGCGGTGACCTCGCGTTTTGTTTTGACTGAATTTTCCAACTGAAAACACTTCTTTTGTCTGGAAATACGCAGAGATTGGGCAAAGTCTTCTGGCATAAAATTTATCTTGAGTCTCACAAAGCTCTAGTAACGTGCCTTTACCAAAGCGGTCACGGATATGCACTAATGCTGTTGCAAGAATGACGTACTCGATTTCAGATGATGTGTGATTAACGTGTGCAGGATCCGAAGAAGCTTCTACAACGGACAAGTTATTGAGAGCATCCGGCTGCTGCTCTCGATTAGATGCAGTATTATGCATTTGAGAAGGTTTTGAATACCTATGAAGCAAAGTGTTATGCAGACGAGAACACACCTGACGATGTACATGCAGAAGCTCTATGCCCTGGCATTAAGCAGAGAATGCACAATTGGTTGCTTTTTACAAAAGCAAGCCTTTTTTTCGTGCACCAATAAAGCCAATAAACATGCATGTATACATAATAAATTGTGACATTGAGGGCTAGTAGTTTATAGAATTAAACATTGTAAAATTTAGCAACGACATACATACAGTCCTCATTTATAAGTGCAACTCGTCCCAAATTCCTCAGCACGCTGCTCGCGTGGTCGAGTTATTCCCGAATAGTGGGACTGAGCCTGTCCCGTGCGGGATATTTAATTTTGGTTTAAAAATTGGGATGTCCCGCCAAAATCGAGACGTCTGGCAACGCTGATATGTACATACATACATACATAACTACATTTTATTTTTTGATGCAGGCGCTATCTATCCTTATATGCATAGCAGGTCTTGCCCGTCTTTGCTGGGCTAAGTAAAATGTGCTTATAATTATAAGTTTATTTACTATATGATATTCTTCTTTCGACGATCTCTAAAGTTTTTTAAAGAGTTCATTTTCCAAATAGCAAATATAGTACTGCTATGTATGGTTATACGTACATACCTACATATGTACATATCTTCGTTACGCACCTGGCGCATGCCAGTCCTAACTTAACTGTGTGCTTCCTCAGCACGTTGTACGCACGGTCGAGTTATCCCCGAAAAGTCCGACGCGGGACATTTAATTTTGATTTATAAATCGGGACGTCCCGCCAAAATTGGAGCGTTCGGCAACGCTGATATGTACATACATTTAAATTTTTCATGCAGGCGTTATCCGCCTATATACATACATACGTATATATGTATTAAATTTTTTAATTCAATACTAATGTGTGTCTTCAATTCCAAATATGATTGTTGTGAATGTAAAAGGTGTGTTTCTGCTTTTGTAAATCGTATGAATACACTCACAAAATAGGCTTAACGGTAAATGACTCTTAGATTTGTTCAGAATACATTTGTAGCGTTGTTAGCTAACACTAAAACGGTAAGTCGCTGTAAATATGCGATCAGCTGAGATGCTAGAGATGGACATGTGTCGGATGCTCTATGTGCTAGAGCATCAAAACTATCGATAGTTGAATCCGTCGATACAATCAATAATTCCATCGAAGTTTGAATGCAATTAACAGAAAATTTAAATAATAACATCTTATAATTTATTAAGATCAATTAAAACAAATCATATACAAACATACATATGTACATCTGCCCGCAACGTGAAGAAGAATATGCGTAAGTCCACATTCGGTTTTTGCTTTACCATCGCTTACACAGTCGTTGCCTAGCGACGGTAACTGTAAACTTTTGACATTTTGCCTTTGAAATTAACAGGCGTAAATGATCAAAACGAAAGATGAAGCGCGAGCCAATGACTTGCAGTTGTTGTTGTTTTTAGTTTTAAAAATTTGATTTAAAACCATAGAACATTATTTATTACAATCAAACAACAGTGCTCGATTGTCCATACGAATGTACATACATGCTATATATGTACATACACAGGCATACATACATACATATGTATGTACATATGCATGCATGTTTCTCTTTACTTTTTCAACCGTACGTAGAGAACCGCACACATAGACACGAACTGTTGCTTGTTCTGTGTGTGTGTGTATATGATGTCCCCAACTATTTGATATTTGCGTTCTTTGTAATTTGTTGTTGCTGCATAAAGTTACTAATGAAAACCCTAATGCCAAATGTACTAAACAACAAATAAATTACTTTTAAAAATGTTAAATAATTTTTTAATTAATTAACATTTCTTGCTCTGTCAGTGCAAGACGAATGAACATACATACATACATAGATGTGTACATGTACATAGATGTGTCCTTATGTATGTATGTACATTCACACATTAGTGTCTCACAATTTGCTTTGCCTATTTCAATCAATTGCACGCAACTGTGCAACTGTGTATGTATACTTAGTTGTCCCCAACTGTTTGAAATTTTGTATTGTTTGTTCTGCCTGCATTTGTAAAATGCATATTTTGAAAATCCTTGAACGCAAAGTTGTAGATTTAGTTACGTAGATTACAGTCCCCAAATTTGAAATCGATCGGAAAATTTTATAACACAAACTTTTCATTTGAAATAGTGAATAAATATTAAAACCCCAATAATTCAAGCTCCACCACAAATTTCGAAAATCCGAGTATGCAGTTTTGTTTGTATTCTTTTATAGATTATGAAAATCAAATTTAAAGTTGATTGGTGGAAAACTGAAGATTTTTCAAACAAACTTTGGAGCTCGAATTTTCCAAAATCCCTTCTTAGTGCGCACCTACACTGTAATATAATCTCAGCTTCCTAGCTTTTACCGTTTAGGCTGTGGGCTGTTGACGCGGTTTCCTCTTGTGCCCCAAAAAAGCCCCAATAATTCAGTCTCCAAGAAAATATTCAAAAAACTAAGTATGCAACTTTCTTTGTATTCTTTTATTGATTTTATAAACCAAGTTTTAAGTCGATCGGTTTAAAAATACTATACTATACTATACGCTATACTATACTATACTATACTAAAAGGAGCAAAAATAAGGAGCCTCGGGCACAGTTTCAGACCATCTTTACTACGGCAGTAGTGATTGAAACAAACAAATGGGTAGACATCGCTGTGCGTTGCATCTATCTTTCATTTTGCTTCTGCATAGTGCAAACTTACATACCTAAGATATCGTACAGATTCACTGTAGAGCAAAGGGACTTTTGCCTCAAATTGATGGCTTCAGTGAACATGCACTAAAAGGCTTTATATTTTAAAATAAATTTAGCGAGCTTTTTAATTTACCTGTGGTGTTATTTCACCAAAAAGTACGATTGCCAGTGTGGAAAATATGACAGCAAATAGTCCGGAAGTTAAACCATCCAGCAGAATGGTAAAGGTGGAGTTAACCAACACATTCCCCAAGAGAATACTGCACAACAGATAATTACCTTGATCTCGAACAGGTTGAATTTTAGCTGCGTATTTTCTTTCTTTCTCCGTGCCAGTGTTCCGCAATATCTGGTAAGAGTCACGTATTAAAAATGTGGAGGAGCTGAATCTCTGAGTTACATTTTACCTTTAATTCCGTGCGGTCCATAGCCATCAGACCCAAATTGAGACCAGAAAATAATGCCGAGAAACACAAACAGATTACAATAATAAGAATTGACAACCATACTGGTAACAAATGTTCATGTGTTTGGATTTGAACCCATTTTGCATCGCCTTGATGCTCAAGTGGCTTAGCGTTTGCTGCAGTGCTTTGCTGTAAATAAGCCCATTTAATTAGAAAATATAGAGATATAAAATTAGAAAAACGTTTACCTCAGCATTTTCGGCATTTTTCGCGCAAATGTAAAATACTGTGCTTGCTGGGGGAAACAGAACTGTGTAAGTAGCGGTGAAACCATCGGATGATACATTGGTTGCTTTGAAGAGTTCCGTGGCTGGCTTTTGGCAAGGTCCCTGATAAACATTTGCCTCGTTTGTAAACGCTATAACAGTATTTTCCTGTATTCCTGTTCCAAAAATTCGTATTTGCTGCTCGTTGTTACTCAGCACACTAGGAATACCTTCACTATCACTAGACGAATCACCTTCCAACCGTATTCCAACAATTTTGATGGCGCTTGGAGTATCGCGACGCATACGATGCCTAAATTTGAATAATATGTATATATATATATATCTTTATTGTTTAATACCAAAATAAAAAGAATTGCATGGCATTTTTTTTGGGCAAAAGTGCGCGTAGAATGATTAGGGCAAAATCAGTGTCCTCAGTGGGGATAATTGGTACTTCACACAACATTAAAAATTAAGAAAAACACCTGAAAATCATAGCAAGAGTAGAGCGGGTTCAACTTTTTAATTAGCCTGTACCCACTCCACAAAAATTACAATTTCTAATTATAGCCTGTACCCAAAACGTAAAAGGCTACATTTGTTTTCTGCCAATGTATATAACACCCAGAAGGATGCGTGGTATCCAGATTCTCCTATGACCGAGCAAGGACAAGTTTATTTTATTTTTTGGAATTTTCCCTCCCTTCCCCCGCTACAGAATTTCGTCACACCGTCCACATTTCAAAAGCTACATTAACCAAACTGCACACATAATTAAAAACATAATAGTCTACTTTTGTTTCAAATTTCATCAAAATCGGTTAATTCTAAGAAAAGTTATTAGCGAAACAAATTCTCTACAGTAAAACCACCCCAAACTGCAGCAACAAGTTCGCTCTTCTTCGTCTTTTTGCATCTGCAATGGGCGCATATAACTCAGTTACGGAAGTTTGTCGGGGTACAGGGTATTTCACTGATATTAATTAATAAAGAGCTTTGGGTATTAATACAAAATATTCGCGAAAGAAATGGCGAGAGCTTTAAAAAATCTTGTCGCTTCGTATGGGCCTCTTTGCTGTGACTGCCATACCTCCAGTTATTAGTAGTAGTTATAAGTAGGTGATGGATAAAAATTCTAATTAACGGCGCCTTTAAATTAACTTTAAACTTGGTTTATTCACTCTGAGAAAGAATACTAGAAAGAATACAAGAGTATATTAGGTTTCCCCGAGCTGAAAAATGTAACAGGCAGAAGGAGGCGTGGCAGACCCCTCCAGTTTGGTTAGGGTAGCTTTTGAAATCCTTTCTCGTACCTAGCCGAATCTGGATACCAACTTTGGTTATTCTAGCTTTTATAGTTTTTGAGATCCTTGCGTTCATCCAGGCGGACGGACGGACATGTCTAAATCGAATTCTCCAGTCATGCTGATTCAGAATATATATACTTTATGGGATCGGAGATGTTTCCTTCTGCATGTTACATACTTTGCACAAACCTAATATACTCATTTTACCCTACGGGTACAGGGTATAATAACCTAAATATAAATGAGTGCTATTAGAAGCTTTTAATATTTTATGTCATACCAGCTGTAACAATGTTTCTACATAAAATACATATGTATGTATATACATGAGGGCTAATAGTTTCTAGAATTAAACCCTATACAATTTAACAACGACATACATACATATTATTACGCGTCGGTCGGACTGCCAGTCCTCACCTATATGTGGCACCCGCCCGCGCTTCCTCAGCACGCTGTATGCACGGTCGAATTATTCGAAAAGCGGGACTGAGCCTGTCCCGCGCGGGACCTTTAAATTTGGTTTAAAAATCGGAACGTCCCGCCAAAATCGGAACGTCTGGCAACGGTGATATCCTCATATTCATGTAAATACATATACGTGTATGTATTCAATTTTGCTAATCAACAATGTTTTCAATTTTGAATATGAATGTTGTTAGTGTAAAAGGTGTGTTTCTGCTTTTGCAAGAATACATTCACAGAATAAGCTGAACGCTAAATGACTCCCAGGATTCTTAACAAATGTATTGTAGCGTTGTTAGCTGATGAAACCGTTTAACAGAAACGGTAAATCGCTTGTAAATATGCAACCAGGTGAGATGCTAGAGATGGGAAGGTGTCGGCTTTTTTCGGCCCGTCACAGCTTGATTACGTAATTGGCTTTCAAAAAATATCAATCTGCATGCACGGTGAGTGGATACAAAATTTATTATATATAAATCGAATAATTAGGAGAGTCGATATTTAATTTATACTTGTATGCATGTGTATATAAAAGCCCAATTTAAAGGACCGATATATGTACACAATATATATTTTATTTTCGCAAAGTATTAATTTATTTTATGCAAATGTGGTCAACATTAACATTGTTATTTTGTAGATATGCGAATTCCATCCAAATCCCTTGCTTTTTTCAACAATAAAATACATGTATATATGTCACTCCAACGTCTTAAGATATACTTTGTGCAAAAAACTGGAATAATTATTAGAACATATCCTAATTTTAAATTATATTTGGTTCGTGTTGCTATTGTTTTTATCCAACTTTTGTGTCGTTTCGTGACTTATTCAGTCAACACGACCACGCGCGAAATCAACATATGAAACATGGCACTCCTGCCATATCCATCTCTTTATGCTAGAGCATCAAACTATCGATAGTTGAATTCATCGATACTATCGACAGCTCAATTGAAGTTTGAATGCAATAAAAAGATTTATGCCGACTTTACCTCCCTTTGTATTCCAACTCACGTAAAGCGTGTATAATTGCACATTTACATAGGAATTGTGTCTGAGTAAAAAGGTGTGTTCCAAAGTAAACAGGACTTTAAAAAAAAAAAAACAGAACAAATGGTTTTTTCGGCAAAATCAATTTATTTTATTCAAAATAGTCTCCTTCCGCCAGTATGCCGGTGCAAGCCTTTTGAATGGCCTCTACGTCTGCATAACGCTTTCCTTTCAGGGGCAAATTCATTTTTCCGAAAAGGTAGAAGTCGCACGGTGCCATATCAGGTGAATACGGCGAGTGGTTAATGGTTAAAATGTGATTTTTGGTCAAATAATCGGTCAAATAATGTTGGATTCTGAGCAATTTTTGGTCGTCACTTAATTTGTGCGGAACAAACCGTACACATGGAGATGTTGAATTCCATTTCCATCAATTTCAATGATGATTTCGGCTGATTTATTATGAATTCACGCACAGTTTCGATGGAATTTTCAGTGATCACGAATTTTGATTGGGCCAGATTCCCATAAGCCCTAGGCAGGTCAAGTTTATTTTTATAGCCTGTACCCAAAGGGTGAAAGGCTATACTAGTTTTGTGCGAATGTATGTAAGAGGCAGAAAGAGGTGTGGCAGACCCCACAAAGTATATAAATTCTTGATCAGGATGACAAGACGAGTTAGAGAAAATCGCATTTGCGTGGGAGAGGGGGGAAGGAGGGAAATTCCAAAATACACATTTTCTGCGTATTCACATAAGGCATCTGGGACTAAAATTTGGTGTTCCTAGGTCTTATAGTCTCCGAGATATAGGAGATTATATGAATGGAAAATCGGGAAAACCCCATGGGGGGAAGTGGGGGGGGGAATCAAAAAATAAAACAAACTTACACAGCGTACACATATAACGCTACTTTGTGCAAAGTTTGGTGTCTCTACCTCTTAAAGTCTCTGTGATCCAGGTGTTCATACGGACAGACAGACAGGGCTAGATCGACTCGTCTCGTCATACTGATCAAGAATATATATACTTTGTGGGGTCTGCCACGTCTCCTTCTGCCTGTTACATTTTCAGCTCCCGCAAACCCAATATACTCTTGTACATTTTATGTACAGAGTATAATAAGTCATTGTAAGTTGCACTATCGAAAAAAACCTAGCCGTACCAATTAATAGTGGTTAGGGCTCGTACATACATATGTACATACATACATCTGCCCGCAATGCGTAGCTCCGTTATTTTTGCTTTACTATCGCTTACTCAGTCGGTGCCTAGCGACGGTAACTGTAAACATTTGGCAATTTGGCAAAGGCGTGGAAGATCAAAAAATGTGGAGGAAAGAATAAGAACTTGCAGTTGTCGTTGTTGCTTTTCGTTTTAAAAATGTGATATATGATATATGTATGTATATTTAGAGTTGACTATAACAACAATTTTTTGTTAAAAGTTCCTTTCGTAATTGTGTTGTATCGGGCCGAAAAAAGAACGGACTTTGCCCATTTGTAGCGTCAGAATGTGCAATCGAAAAACACATTTAGTGATTTACTGTTTTAGGTTAAGCAATTATTATGTATGTATGTACATGCAATTGTATGTTCATTTATATGTCGTTCAGATTAACAGGTCCAATATCAATGTCAAATTATAATTTAATTTAATTACAATTTAATTCTAGAATTTAGGTGCCTTAAATATCACAACAATATATACATATTTATTCATAGTACTATGTGCTTATAAACATACATACAAGTACATATGTACATAAGTTCCTGAATGAAACGTTACTGGAAATAGGCACAATGTGGAATGAGAAATGGTATATAATAAATAATATATAATAAGCAAAACTATTTAGCCCAGCAAAGACGGTCAAGACATGTTGGTAAAGAATATACATACATATATGCTTGTTGGGAGTAGTTCTGGGTGTTATAAACCCATGTAGCTATCTGGTATTTCTGTTTGCCCTTTGCAGATACAAATGTAGTACTCTAAATGTATGTTAAGGGATTACGTGCTTGCGACATACTTGGTAAGAGGTATAAATTCGGATCTACTTGTATTGAAAAACTTAACACTTATGACATTAGGCTCAGGATATCTGCCTTATATAAACCTACACAATATCCAAATTAACTTTATGAAAAATCCAAAATATATTTTATTAAAATCCCACAGATAATTGCAATATCAAACTGATCTCCCGATTTCATAAAATTACTACCATAAAGAAATCTATGTGCACACGTTTATTAATAAATAAATAAATTACCTCAAAACAATTTTGTTGTAAGGTCATAAATTACGTATGCGTGAGTAAACGTGGACGAACACTCAAAACTGAAAACGATAAAAATCGTAGGAGCCACTTTTACCAACGCAATCCAGAACAGACCGGATTGCTTGCCAAAATAGAAATTAACCACCCAGCCCACACTTGTGTTTCTTCTCTCGCTTTTTGAATCACTCGAATTTATCAAGAATGTATGCGTATGTGAGCTGTTCGAAAGCCTTATGTATTGTTGGTAAGTTCGATGACAGCA